ACCAAGTTTATTACTTGAACGATTCGGTCACACTTGCCGATTGAAAAACAAGTTTGTGACATCATATTTTGGTGTTCATAAATTTGTCCATCAATGAACAAAAGAAATCTTTTATAGTTTCTTGCACAACAAATGGAAAAACAATTGTTTGATCTTTGATTGGTATATGAATTTATTGTATGGAAATGAATCAATTGTTTAAACACGTTGCACTTTGTCTATCTAGAAGAAATAAAAAATTAAAATGTTTCTATAATTCGTGAAATTTCATTAGAATTTAGTATATGCTTAACAAGGGCAAAATAGTTATGTATTAACAGATTACATTAGTTGTATAATCGATTAAAACAGGTTGTTATGCCATCATGTGTTTGTTGAATGCTTTGATGTGTTTGGAATGGAAAATGATTTGATATTTTGCTTAAGTATGGAACTTAACCGATTACATAAGTTTCATAATCGGTTAAAGTGTTTATCTTGTGAAAATCATTTTCATTAAAAGTCATAACTGCCTATAACAGTCATATTTGTTTGTTGTTGGCTTGTATGATTTATCAAATCGATTCCATGCGCTGTTTAATCGGTTAAATTTGAAACAGACGTAAAACTATTAAAGCAAAAAGAAAAACTTAACAGATTACATTAGAAGCGTAATCGATTAAACTGCGTCATGATTTGAAAATCTATAAATAGACGTGTTGTGCGCTCATTCAATACAATTACATGAACTTACACTTTCATAAATTCCTTGTTTGTTAAGTATTAATTACAGGAGCGTCCTAAGACTTCTTGGAGAATTAAGATCATATATTTGGAAAGAAATCATCAAGATTCTTGCAAGATAGTTGTGCTAATAAATTGTTGATCATATCTGCACCTCAGGTGTATTCTTTGAGGATCAGTGTCTTCATTACAATCAAGAGGATTGTATTCCTGTTGTTGTGAGCCAGAAGGATAACCTTTGTGTTCTGCATTGAGAGTTGGGATTGCTTTCTGGGTTTGTGAGATTGTGAGGTGATTCACATCTTGGACTGTAAGTGATATTGAGTTGGGGAAGGAGAGTGCATTCAGAGGGGATATCTTTGTATCCTTGCTTGTATAACTCTATCATTATAGTGGTTCCCTTCAACTAAGGTTGTTGAAGGAAGACTAGATGTAGACTTGGTCGAACTAATATAAATATTTGTGTTGATCTTTCTATTTCTTCCTCTTTTATTGTCTCTCATATATTTATCATATTGATTTCAAGAAAACTCAAAGATTTTGCAAAGCTTTTTGAAAGCAAAATCCAATTCACCCCCTCTTGGTTAAGATATAAACCATCACTGTTTGTACAAATATTATACAAGAAAGAATTCGAAGGTTTGAAAAAATATCTTAAGTGTGGGTTATCATGATTAGTTTATTGGTTTAATTGCTTACTTTGTCCCCAGTTTGGTTGACGTGTGTCAAGTTCGTCCTCCATTTTAAAAAAAGTTCAATTTCGTCCATACGTGGTTTAAAAGTTTCAATTGCATTCAAACATAGAAAAATTTGCCTCACGTAAGTCCTCTCCATTAAATACAAACTAACGGTGTTAACTGGTTGATCATTTCGTATAAACAATTAAAACGTGACAAAAGAGTATGGTTTAGCTAGCAAAGGAGAGGTTTACGTGGATGCCCTAAGTGTTAGAGCGGCTGCAGCATAATGGTTAGCGTGGAATAACAAACCAAGAGGGGTTTTAATACAAACGTGTGTCTTTTAATTTCTACTCAATTAAACTTACTAAGCAAATAATAAAGATAAATTACAAGAGTAAGGCTGAGAGAAATTTGCACAGATGATTTTATCCTGGTTCGGATCTTACCAATCCTACGTCCAGTCGCTTATCTCAAAACAAGATAAACAAATAACTAATCAAAAAACAATTACAAATTACAATCACAAAGAAAAAATTTGTAAAAGTTTAGAAGCCACCTCTCTTGATACCACAAGAGATGAACCTGCACCTCCTTTGAGTCTTCACAAAGGATGAAACACTTCCTCCGAATACTTCATGAAGGATGACTTTCTCTTCCAAACAGCTCCTCAGATGCACCAAGGATGAACCGTCTATTCCTCTATCACCGTAGCAGCACTTCACCAGCTCCACAAACGAGAGTTTCTCAAGCCAAACAAGAACACACAATTCTCAATGATTTCTGAGCTCTAGAGCATAAGGAAAGAGTTGATGTTGAAGGAAAATGAGAGCCTATTTATAGACTCAAGCAAATACTCTTTCGTTCTTCGTTTCCAGCCATTTAACGCTTTTAATTGATAATATTAGTGTTAATCGATTAAAATGAGCACTTTGGCTAGTTTTAACGGCAAGAAAACTCCAATGGTCAATTTTAATCGATTAAAAGGTATTTTAATCGATTAGCTAATAGATTAAAATAAATTTTAATCTATTAAATCGAAAAAAATTGAGTTTTCAGCTTTTACTCGTTTTAATCGATTAATACTTGTTTTAATCGATTAATACTTGTTTTAATCGATTAAAACAGTGCAATTTTGACTCTGGACATAAAATATATAATATAAAAATACATAGAATCAAAACCACTAAAAATCTAAGTCCTAGACACTGAACTACAATTATTACAAAAGTTTTCCATTGCAATACAAGTCTTCATAATATCTTCTTGAATCTTGATTTCTCTTGACTTGATTTGGACATCATCAAAACTTCATCTTCATCATTTTGCTAACACTAAGTGGGAAGTACCCCAAGGAGGTTATAAGTGACAGATGTGTGATGGGACTTTATCGTGTTGGTTGTCTTCTTCTTCATTAAGGTTTCCTGTTTACTGTTTTGTGTTGGCAGTAGCTTGTTTATGGGGGACCACAACGAAAGCAACCATAAACCCAACGAAAGCAATGGTGCACGCACCTTCGAATGGAACCTACTTTGCACTTCCAAATACCCCATGAATAATGCGAAAAGTGTTTCCAAATCACCAAATGTGATTCTGCTTTTGAAAGCCCCAACTGCGATTTTTCACTCTTCGTCAACTCAGGAACACTCTATCTCAAATGCCCTAATTTGATTTCATTCACAACAAAACCTGTAATTTTATTTCATTCACAAAACCCCTAAATCAATTATGATTTTCATTTCCCCAATTCCATAACCTAATTCCATGTCACCCTACATGTCATTCACATCTCATTATCAATATTGCCACGTTTTAATTGTTTACTGCGAAATCATCAATCAGTTAACACCGTTAGCCTGTATTTAACGGAAAGGGCTTAATTGAGGCAAATTTTTCTACGTTTGGATGCAATTGAAACTTTTAAATATAACATCACATTTTTAAGTCGATTTTCTTGTAAATAGACTTAAATTCACAAAATTAAAATTGTCTTTTTTTCGTTAGTGAGTGAACTTTAAATCTAATTAAAACCAACAAAATTGACTTGTGAGGTGAGATTTACACTTACTTATTTACTATGAAATTGTCTTATCTTTAGTTGATGTGGATATCTAACCTATCTAAATAATCTTTTGATTATCTTAATGTCCAATAGGATCTTTCTTAGGTTTTCTTTACCATTAATCCAATATTTCTAAATAATTAAAATGTGTTTTCATCACTAGTTGTATGAATATTCTTCCTCTTGGATCTAGGGGAGATCATATTTTGCTCTTGATATTTGCGTAGGATCAATGGAATTAAGCTCTCACTCCCCATAATTTAAAGCTTGTAATGTAACCTCTAAGGCTGGTAATATTTACACAACATCTTTTCTTCACTCTTCTTTTTAAGAAAATGTATAATGTACACACCTGATGTTTAAATATGGAGTGCATGTGCGCGTAACTTGAGAGTACGTAAAGACACTCGTCTCTTATAGTATGCCAGGGAAAACAAAAATCATAGTCATGCATGCATGTGTTGACATGAGAAACATAGTTAGGTACGTGAAAGCATGTCGTTATCCTTAATAGAAAATTTTCATTACAATTACCAAATGACATAGCCTTGCCTCTATTTAAACCTGCCAAACTCTTATTAACATTTCAATATCTCTTCACCTCTTCTCTCTCTCTCTCTCCATTTCCTCGTACTAAATAATATGGATAAGAAACTATCTAGCGTGTCTCACGATCCTGAGGTGAGAAAGGGACCATGGACAATGGAAGAAGACTTAATCTTGATCAACTACATCGCAAATCATGGGGAAGGTGTTTGGAACTCTTTGGCCAAAGCTGCTGGTAAACATACTTTTCATTCTTCAACTTTTATTATTATTATTTTTATTATTATTCTACTATTTTCTTCTTTTTTTCTCTCTCTTTTTAGTTCTAACTAAGCCCTATGGTTGCGAGAGAATGATGGATCATCATGCTTTTGCAGGTCTTAAACGTACTGGAAAAAGCTGCCGGCTCCGGTGGTTAAACTACCTCCGACCCGATGTTAGAAGAGGGAATATTACACCCGAGGAACAGCTCTTGATCATGGAGCTTCATGCAAAGTGGGGAAACAGGTGAACTCATGATGCAATTTATATATCAATAATAAGAAGAAACTTGTTAAAAAATTAACATAGTGCATGAGTCCACCACCAAGATCTTATATTTCAAATAAGTGATATTCTTACACGGAAAAATATTTTAAAGGGTAAATGGTAATTTTTGGTTTATGATCTCAAATAGACCATTTTTGTTCTTATTTTATTATTGTTTTTGTAATCTTGGTTCTTCATTTTTCAAAATTTTCTTTTTTATTCGACCTTCAAGTTTATGTACGTTTTATTTCTTTTACATTTTACTTAACTAATTTTTCTTGTACCTGAACTAAATATGTTGAATTTAAGGTTTAATTAGTCAAAAAATATTAAAAAAAAAACTTGAAAATTTGACCATACCGTTTTTCAAAATGTGGATACTAAAATTTATAACAAAAATGAAAGGGAAACCTTCTTCGTTTTCAAATGGTGAAAGGAAAACTTTATTGGTCTCTTTAATATTTTGGAGGTATCACATTAGATGACAAGTTAGTACATTCTTAGAAAACTATTTCTGATAGAAGGATATAACTGTAGCAAGAGCAAGATTCCACAATAGGGTTTTGTTGAACTTATAGACATTTCGTGTTTATATACGAAATTTTAGAGCTTCCAAAATGATTTCGATTTCCATCTTTATGTACATATTGTGCATCTATGCTCACTGTGGCATTCAATCTTCCGCTTTCACATCATGGTTATGATATAAAAAACATAAGACATAGGTAGTTAATTTTTCCTGCGCATAAAAAAAAAGGTGGTTAATTTTTCTATGGATTATTTTAAATCTTCTTTTTTTTCTCTTTGATTTTGAATTATGTGTAGCTCTAATATTGGTTCGGGTGAATTTTGGTTTTTACTTCATACCAACTTTTCATGTTTTGTTTTAAAAAAGTAAATTTTAATAATAAATAAAATTCGAGATGTTGCTGATCAGGGAAGAGAAATACGATTTGTAAACAACGACAGTAGAGTTATCTTCCAAAAGAAGAAGAAAGTACACTTCAAGTTTTTAGTCAGCATCTATTATTTTTTAAAGAAAAGTGTTTCCTATTATATTTTATGTTCTTACATCGCTCCCTAATAAGTAATGGTAAAAGTTTGAACATGTAGAAGAAAAAAAAAGAAGATATATACCTCTGAAATGAAAATAGACGTTTTAAAAGGAAAAATTAGAGAAAAATGATAGATGCATATAATGATAGAAAGAAATCACAAATTGAACATTTTATATTTCATAGAAGTTTTAAGTAGTTTTCTTTTTAAATATTGCAACTAATGAAATTTATTTATAAATTTACGATTTAAAAAGAAAACTTTTAGAAAGGAATTTCATGTATACTTTTGTATGAACTTTAAAGTTTCATGAAACATGTGTAAAAAATAGTTCTATAAAATAGAAATGTTAATAAAGAATTAGAACGATATAAAAATTAAATATATATTTCTAATATAAATTAAGAGTGTGTGGAAAGTGTAATAAGAAAAGGAAATAAAAAATGAAAAGAAGAGGAAGATAAAACTGAATTATAAACTTTTAGTAAGCACCATCTAACATATATATAAAATGTACCAATCATAACACCCTATTTCTTATGTATATTATCTATTTCATATGTTACTGGAAAGCAAAATATAAGGCTCAATTAATAAATAATATTAATATATTTTATTTTGATCTACTATATTTATATATATATTTAAAATTATTTATTTAAGATATTATTATTTAAAGTAAGTTTAGTAAACAATAAGGAATATGTATCATGAAAAACCCAGAGAAAGAGGTGTAGGGTTATTATTAAACCATACTGAAATGAAAAGAAAAGTTATATAAACATTTCTAATCAAAGAGACAAAGGATAATATACGAGAAGGCAAACTTGAATATAAATTGAATGAGAAAATAAAGAGGTATAGGTAGTTGTAAAGCTTTTAGTGGGGGAAAATCATGAGTAATATGTGGAGAAGGTAAAGAAAAAAGACCAATTATGAAGTTATTTATCAACATTTAGTAATATCTATATAAATATAAGAATAAAAGTTTATCTACTAAAGGAATTTAATTTTACAAAATGGCTATTATAAGCAACCTAGTGAAGGAGAAGGAAGTGAACTAGAGGAGGGGACCTTCCATTAATGGAAGTGGGCACACTTTTACATCTTTCGTGTTCCAATGAAAGGAAACTTTTGTTAGGGTTTAGGTAGTGAAAACGGACCCAAACCATACCGTGTTGGCTTTTCTTGACTAGGGCAGATGTCCTTGTAAATTAACATTCTCCCCTTGAGGTTAAGCTCAGATGGTGCATCCTTAACCTAACTATAGCTCCATCGTCGTACCGTTCTCACTATCCATTTTTTCTCTCAGCCTACAGACAAACCAAAACCTCTAACATCTCACATTCATATTACATCCTTAAACATAACATTACTCTCAGGAATCATACACACGGTCCTTTTCAACATAGTCAAACCTGTTTTAAGAAGGCAATTCCAAGAAAAGATGAGTGGGGAGCGGGGTGTTCAAATTTCGAAGAAAATAAGTAATTGCTTACACGAAAAGCTTTTGTAGATAATGGAATGAAAAGAGGTACAAGAAAAGATAAGAGAGATTTGAAGCATATACTCTCTACCCGAGGCATGCATTGAGAAATCTGATTTTCTTATCTTGTAGCCCTGCTATACATCAAAGGAAACTCAGAAATTCAGCATCTTTGCGTACCTCGATAATGATCGTTTTATAATGGTCACATTGATTCTCAGCCATTGAACATGGCCTCCTTTCAGACTGATCCTATTTATTATAGGAGCTGCCACTTTTTTACTAATCAAAATGAAATGCTTCAACAACCTCAGGTAGCTTTTAATTTTATTTCAACTAATTAATACCTTCTTGTGTCAGCACAATCACACAAAGTTGGTGTCTGCACATTAAATAGTTGTCTGCTTATAAAATTCTACAACAGTATTTTTCTAGCTTGCAATTTAGCTTCGAACTATTCATTCATTCATTTCCGACTTTTATAAATTAAAAATATCGAACAAAAAGTCTGTAAATTTTATCTGTATCTTAATGAAGCTTATATAATGGATTTTAGCATAAGTATAAATTGCTTTTGTTTGTTTACAATTAAAAACTAGTTTAAAAAGTACACTCATAAGCTATTCAAAATAGTTTTTAGTTTTAATAATATTTCTAACTTTTAATTATTTTTAAAAGCTGAAACAAATGCCCAATTGTTTTTAAAAGATAATACTTTTACGGGGAAAAAGTTGCAACAAACGGGTTTTTGAGATTAAAGGACTATGCACTCCTATTAAAATCAAAGCATTTTACTTTTCCTTTATAGTTATTTAAAAATAAAAATTAGATAAAAAAACAACTTTGAGAGTTATTACAAACTATTCTACCTAATATTCTCCTAGTCAATTAGCTTTCATACAAAAAGAGCTGAATATATAAAATGTGGCAAATATTTCTTTATTAATATTTGTTAGGTAGGTATCTGAGATTTACTCATTTCAGAATTTTGACTTTAAATTCTTACATTATGACAAAACCAGTACATTAATAGTCAGATATTTTACTGTCTTTCACAAATCACTCATTTTCCAACGCAGGTGGTCCAAAATTGCCAAGCAGCTACCCGGAAGGACTGATAATGAGATCAAGAACTTCTGGAGGACAAGGATTCAGAAGCACATGAAGCAAAGTGAGAGCTTTCAGCAGCAGAGTAATTCTGAGACAAATGATCACCAAGCTTTCACTAGCCAAGTGTCCACCATTGCTGAGCCCATGGAGACCTATTCTCCATCCTGTTATCAAGGAATGCTAGAACCATTCTCAACTCAGTTCCACACAAATCCTGATCAATCCAGTTGTTGTACAAACGACAACAACAACTACTGGAGCATGGAGGATATCTTATCAATGCAGTTAGCCAATTACTAAACGGGGACAAAACCTATATATAAACACATAATATGTATAAAATCTAAGTCTTCAAATTTCATAAAGCTGGAATCTCTGGCTTAAAACATATCAGGTTTGTTATATAAGTAGTTGGTATTTGTACTTTGGTTTTTTGCGTACCATCAATATTTCAGAACTAAATTAGTGCTGTAACTTATTATGAGCTCTTAAGTAAACTATATCTCAAAACAATCTTATAAATAATATGGTACGTGGACAATAAAAGATAAGGTTGAAAACCAAAACCTTTTAATATTCCCCCCTCGTCATGTCAGTTGTTCTATTTCGCATTTTGTCTGAAGTTCAACCTTACACTAATTAACTTTTTTTGTAAGGGCATTTCACTGGATAAAATTCTATTTGCTTTAAAGTACAGAACTAACATTTTAGCAGACGGCTAAACATAATACTGTTGTTTAAACTGTCACATTTTGATAAAATATTTCTTCTGTTTTCCATTGGACTTGAAAAATATTAACACAGCATAGTCTGGCACTGTAAATTTTGTAATAAGTGTAAGATGTGTTTGGTATAGTCAGATGATAGTGCCAAAACTGACCTCCATATATGAACGGAATACAACCACGCATGTGAAGTCATGAACTTGCTTTATTTCCCATGCACACATGTACATACATCTACATATATATATATATATATATAACCTAACTAGTGCCACAAGAAATTGACACGTAGTCTGAGAATGAACCACTTTAGTAATTTTCGTTAGAATTCACCTGCCTTTTTCCTTATGGTGCATAGCCATGCAACATTAAAGACCGACGGGAGCCTAACTCTTGTCGATGGATGCAGTGATGTCTTCACATGGGCCTCCTAAATTCACCCATCACCGTATCCTTTTTGACTAGGGAAAATACAATACAATGAAAACTAACAGCATCGTTTTTGTATGGAATACATATATAGTTGCTAACTTTAGTTATCTTGTATGACAGACATTGAATATAACAGTGAAGGTGTTGATCTTGGCATTGTTTGAAGTTAAGTTAATGCATAAGCTTTTGGGTAATTGTAACCGAAAGACATTGTGATGTTGCGAGCACCAAGTTAGGCCGGTGATGATATCAGAGCAAGAGCATTCGTAGTCTGCCAAACTTCAACTTTAGTTTAGCTTCTAACACACTTATTCGTAGAAAGAGGGTTGAGGGGGTAACCAAGAGACTCGTCCTGGGATTGTGCCGTGTCCCATTAAGGAAACAAGGACAATTTCTTGTAGGCTTTAACTTTGTACCTATGTCATTCCAAAAGGAACTTGCAGCATCTACGAACCACTCGTTTTATTCAGTCACATGTTTTATGTGCAGAATTCAATTTCAACTCCCAAAAGAAACCTGACACGTGATGTGATAAGGAATGTTCACGTGGTGGGTTTGCCACTGGAGCAGAATAGGATCAAATTGAACAGATCACCGAGGATTACTTAATATCCTTCAGTTCATTACTCAATACTTCCCGCTGCATCAATGGGGCCACGATATTCCCTTTCGCGTTTTCTCCTCTGCAACGGTTAATTTTCTCTTTAACTAATCATTCTTTCACCCTCCCCTTTGCATCGGTATCACAGGTGACAGAGGTGTTAAAGAGTATTGTGAAATGAACAATTCCATTTCCATTTTCTGATAATGGTTAGCAAATAACACAAGCTAGTGGTTTCTCGTTCGTTATCTTAATCACTTACCATACATCGAGTTTTTTTGTTTGAGTCCTTGAAAAAAGTTCTGATGTACTAAAACAATACGTCAAATAACCTAAATTTCAATGACCCATGGTTTTGATATGTGAACACTGAAATGGATATGTTTTTTTATTGGATGGATATGCAATGAAAGTTTGGGAATTCTGTAAATTAAAGCAACATATCAACCCTTCATAATTAGTTATATGATATTCTTTTACACTCCATTTTGAATAACTACTATATATAGTTTGTTGACAAATAAAGTTATAGCTGAAAACCTGAGAGATATGATTGACCTATATTCTGGACTATAGAGAAGGGGTTGCTACACAGGATACAAATAGATAAATCTGAGGTTTAAAGATAAGTTGATAACTGAAAGATGATTGAAAAGATCAACATAAAGCAAGTATGCACTACATGTTGATTGCTGTCATGTTAGCCATTGAGCATGCTGATATGAAAGGATGGAATAATTTGTGATTAGAATGTGATTACTACTAGGTGAAGGCTTTTAATAACTCTTTGGTTTCTTAGAGGATTACATGGTAAGAGATCTTTGTATTAAAATTTGTGAAACTTTAAAATTGCAGATACTTTTTAGAGAATGTAACTCATGTGCCTTAAAGTTTAGCTTATTTTTATCTTATTGGAATATGATTTTCACAGCCGAGGGTTCAAACTATTGTTGAAAGTGGCCCAACTTACCTCAGACAATATATAGACCCGTTATTCGTGATTAAATAGTTTCTTGGATATTCAGTAATGTTAAAGGCGAACTAATTAATACAATTAATCACTCTAGTTCATAAATTTTTCTATCCTTTTACAATATCATTTTATTCTATTTGTTCTTGATATTTTACCCTCATCAAGAGGGGTTATTTCTAAGCATCGATCTCCTCATATGTTCTTCAAACAATGGAATTCGTTAGGAACATCATTAACTGAGCGCATTTCTGCAATCTGATTTTCATGTGATAACAGAATCCATGATTGAGATCATTGTTGCAGTATTGCAAAGGAGAAGCACAAATAAGAACTAGATAAAAGAAACCAAGTAGTTAGTGAGAGGAGCCGTTTTGATAAAGTAAAAGCTAAATGTCTGAGCCTCTATGTAAAACGTGCATATTCATATATATATATATATATCTGTCTCTTATATATATATTATATATATATATATATATATATATATATATAAGGCTACTTTGAGGACTCACATTTTCTCTTGCTTGGTGTCAACATATCAGAACCCTTTCCTTAACACTTTGTTCCTACATCAAATATGTAACATTAAGATCGAATTCAAAGAATTATAATAAAAAAATCTATAAAAAATTAAATAATTTAAGTAATAGCGTTTTGGCCCTTTAATATACTGTTATTTTTTCTTAGTCCTCTTATTTTTTATTATTTGTGTTTTTATTAAAGCATTGTTTCATTTTATTTTCTATAATTTGTATATCATTGTTAAGATGGCCTTATAATACAGATTCGATATAACGACAATGAATTCCCCTAGAATCTACATGCACATGCGCCCTCCATCTCTAGGTCAACGATCCCAAAAAGAAAAAAAAGAATTAAAAAAAGACATAGAAGACCAAGATAAACGCAAGGCTAGAAAATGATCGGACAGCACAACCATGAACGCTTCTAACTGAGACTAGGAGAACAAAAAAAACCTCAAGAAACTTTACTCCTGTAAGATATGGACTCTCACTATTCTAGAGATCCAAACCGAGGCCACAAGAAGATAAAATCATGTAAAAAATAATATTAATTAAAAACAAGACCATATTTATTACAAAATACACATTTTAGCACATTATTACATTGGTTTGTAAAGTAATTACCGTTGAATAAATAAAGTAATCATTTTTAAAATAAATACAAAGTTTTATATCAATCATAAATTATTCATTGTAAAAAAAATTCAAATTACCGATAAGACTAGTGCGATAACAATTAAAATCTAATGGTGATTTTTCTCAGCGGATTATCGACGATTTTAAATTTGTCAGTAAAACTCCTTTATGAGTAACAAAAAGCATAAAAAGAAATAACATAGGTTTTCTTAGGTTTGTATTTTGCCTATTTTAATTTCTTGTTTCTTTCTCTTAGATTAGTTGTAAAGAAGCTTATATACTCTTCTTTTCTTTAAGGTGTAAGCAATGTGGGACTTCATATAGCTTGGACTTAAAACAAAGAAGAATAAATAAGTCTCTTCTCCTTTTAGTTTCTTGTATTACATGTTAGCTCATGTATAGTTTTAGTTTTGATCCTTAAACTAGTTAGGTAGCTTATATACCCTTAAGAAGTTGAAAAATTAAGAGATGTGGGACTTAAAACAACCTTGGGAGCTGCTGTTCAGACTTGAAGGCCTCCAAGTCCCACATCCTTTAGTTTTCTTCATCTATTATCTCCTAGTGCTATATAAGCAACCTAAGGTCTCTTTTGTACATACACTTTGAACACCTTTAAATTTGAATATAAAGAGTGTTTTGTGTTCGATTGCATTACTTATTCGAGATAGAATTTTGTCTCTTAGTCTAATTTTGGGTCTTTATCTCGTGAAGAACAAGTGGCGATCCTCCTTGACATTTATCTTGGATCCTTCCAAGTGGCATGTCTTCAAATCATAAGTTTCCTCTCCTTTCTCTCTTACATTTTTAATATTTTAATTCCATTTCTTAATTGTTCTTGTTTAATTCTTAAGCTTATTTCTATCTAGTCATGTTGTTCCATATCACCTACTAATAACATTAACGGTAAGTATCGTAAAAAATTCAAATGCAATAGGATGTTGGTTGTTTACCACACAATAAAACCTCGACATAAGATTTTAAGAAAATAACACACATTTTCGTAAGTGTTTCTTCTTCGGTTGTGGCTAGAACCGATGCCATGGGAGTCTTTTTGCCTCGGTTTTGGTTAGAACCGAGGCGTATTCTACTATGTTTTTTAAGAGTAGGTATATTTCTGCAACATTTCCAACTGTAAAATATGTAATTCCAACAAGAGACTAGAGCTTTCATACAGAGTTTGACAAATCAGATGGGACAGATGGCTACTCAGCTCAATCAGTCACATTCTCAAAATTTTGACAAACTACCATCTTAGATTGTGCAGAATCTAAAAAATGTCACTGCCATCATGCTGAGATCTGGGAAGCAAATTGTTATACCCTAAGATCCAAAAAAATGTTTGTATTTGTACCTGCACAGAACCTACTAAAGAAAAACTTCCTGAGAAAGAGGGGTAGGCAGGTACAAGTACGAAATTTGAGGTAGATGGACCCTCTTCTTCCACCAGTACTTCTAACTTGCAATAGCATCCTATCCCTCTTTCGTTCCCTCCCAAAGTGATTCAAAGGAAAAATATAGAACAAGTGGATAAGGAGACTCTGGAAACCTTCAAGAAAGTGGAGGTGAACATACCTCTGCTTGATGCCATCAAACAGATTCCCAAATATGCAAAATTCCTGAAAGAGTTGTACACTCACAAGAGGAAGATGAAGGACAATGAGAGGATCAACATAGGCAGAAATGTAT